CCGATCATCACGTGAGATGGAGTTGTTTTCAATGGTGAACATCTCTATGTTGATCATATCTACTATATGATTCACGCTCGACCTTTTGGTCTCAGTGTTCCGAGGCCATATCTGCATATGATAGGCTCGTCAAGTTTAACCCGAGTATTCTGCGTGTGCAAAACTGTTTTACACTCGTTGTAGATGAACGTTGAGCTTATCACACCCGATCATCACGTGGTGTCTCGGCACGACGATTTGGCAATGGTGCATACTTAGGGAGAACACTTGTACCTTGAAATTTAGTGAGAGATCATCTTATAATGCTACCGCCGAACTAAGCAAAAATAAGATGTATAAAAGATAAACATCACATGCAATCAAAATATGTGACATGATATGGCCATCATCATCTTGTGCTTTTGATCTCCATCTCCAAAGTACCTTCATGATCTCCATCGTTACCAGCATGACACCATGATCTCCATCATCTTGATCTCTATCAATGTGTCATCACATAGTCGTCTCGCCAACTATTACTCTTGCAACTATTGCTATCGCATAGCGATAAAGTAAAGCAATTGTTTGGTGCTGGCATCTTATGCAGTAAAGAGACAACCATAAGGCTTCTGCCAGTTGCCGATAACTTCAACAAAACATGATCATCTCATACAATAAAATATAGCATCATGCCTTGACCATATCACATCACAACATGCCCTGCAAAAACAATTTAGACGTCCTCTACTTTGTTGTTGCAAGTTTTACGTGGCTGCTACGGGCTGAGCAAGAACCGTTCTTACCTACGCATCAAAAATCACAATGCGGTATAGTGATTGCTTTTTGATCTTCAGAAAGAACCCTGTTCATTGAATCAGATTCAACTAAAGCTGGAGAAACAGACACCCACTAGCCACCTGTGTGTGAAGCACGTCGGTAGAACCAGTCTCGCGTAAGCGTACACGTAATGTCGATCTGTGCCGCTTCATCCAACAATGTCGCTGAATCAAGAATCAACTAGTGACGGCAAGCAATATGTATATACCCACGCCCACAACTCCTTTGTGTTCTACTCGTGCATATGACATCTACACATAAACCTGGCTCGGATGCCACTATTGGGGAACGTAGTAATTCAAAATTTTCCTACGCACATGCAAGATCATGGTGATGCATAGCAACGAGAGGGAAGAGTATCGTCCACGTACCTTCGTAGATCGTAAGCGGAAGCATTATGAGAACGCGATTGATGTAGTCGAACGTCTTCATGATCCGACTGATCCAAGTACCGAACACACGACACCTCCGAGTTCAGCACACGTTCAGCTCGATGACGTCCCACGAACTCCGATCCAGGAGAGTTTCACGGGACAGTTCCGTCAGCACGACGGTGTGATGACAGTGATGATGTTGCTACCGACGCAGGGCTTTGCCTAAGCACCGCTACGATATGATCGAGGTGGATTATGGTGGAAGGGGGCACCACACACGGCTAAGGGATCAATGATCAGTTTGTGTGTTCTAGGGTGCTCCCTGCCCCCGTATATAAAGGAGCAAGGGGGGAGGCCAGCCGACCTAGTAGGAGTAGGACTCCCCTTTCCTACTCCTACTAGGAGGAGGAAAGGAAGGAGGGGGAGGAAAAGGAGGAAAGAGGAGCCGGCCCCCTAGTCCAATTCAGTTTGGGCTAGGGGGGCGCGCGCCCTGCCTCCTCTCTTCCACCACTTGTCCCATTGAGGTCCAATACTTCTTCCCGTATTCCCGTAACTCCTTGGTACTCCGAAAAATACCTGAATCACTCGAAACCTTTCCGATGTCCGAATATAGTCGTCCAATATATCGATCTTTATGTCTCGATCATTTTGACACTCTTCGTCATATCCCCGATCTCATCCGGGACTCCGAACTACCTTCAGTACATCAAATCACATAAACTCATAATACCGATCATCACAGAACTTTAAGCGTGCAGACCCTATGGGTTCGAGAACTATGTAGACATGACTGAGACACGTCTCAGGTCAATAACCAATAGCGGAACCTGGATGCTCATATTGGTTCCAACATATTCTACGAAGATCTTTATCGGTCAAACCGCATAACAATATACGTTGTTCCCTTTGTCATCGGTAAGTTACTTGCCCAAGATTCGATCGTCGGTATCTTAATACCTAGCTCAATCTCGTTACCAGCAAGTCTCTTTACTCGTTCCATAATACATCATCCCGCAACTAACTCATTAATTGCATTGCTTGCAAGGCTTATAGTGATGTGCATTACCGAGAGGGCCCAGAGATACCTCTCTGACAATCGGGGTGACAAATCCTAATCTCGATCTATGCCAACTCAACAAGTACCATCGGAGACACCTGTAGAGCACCTTTATAATCACCCAGTTACGTTGTGACGTTTGGTAGCACAAAAAGTGTTCCTCCGGTAATCGGGAGTTGCATAATCTCATAGTCATGGGAACATGTATAAGTCATGAAGAAAGCAATAGCAGTAAACTAAAACGATCAAGTTCTAAGCTAACGGAATGGGTCAAGTCAATCACATCATTCTCCTAATGATGTGATCCCGTTTATCAAATGACAACTCATGTCTATGGTTAGGAAACATAACCATCTTTGACCAACGAGCTAGTCAAGTAGAGGCATACTAGTGACATTCTGTTTTTCTATGTATTCACACATGTACTAAGTTTCCGGTTAATACAATTCTAGCATGAATAATAAACATTTATCATGATATAAGGAAATAAATAATAACTTCATTATTGCCTCTAGGGCATATTTCCTTCACATGGTTTAAATAGTGGACCACGCTGGGTATGGAAAGAAGCGGAAGTTTGATTGCGAGCATCAGAGTGGGTTTCTACGCCACCACGCATGTTGAATGTCGGGCAGGCAGAACGGACGGGCAGTTGGCTTCAATGAAGTAGGAAGCCTTCTCGTCGCCCTGTCCGGTCACGTCATTTTGCTCTAGCATTGAATAGGCATGAAGAGCAAGCTAATGCGACGCGGGCCACCGCACCGCTTTAATGCTGCACCTTGTTTCTAATAATTGATACACCATTTTTTGCTCACTGTTTGCTACTTACTACCTTGTTGTTTCTATTATTTCAGATTACAAAGAACATATATATATTATCCATACTACACTTGTATCACCATCCCTTTTGCCGAACTAGTGCACCTATACAATTTACTATTGTATTGGGTGTGTTGGAGACACAAGAGATTTCTTTTATTTGATTGTACGATTGTTTGAGAGGAACCATCTCCACCCTACACCTCCCACAGATTGATAAACCTTAGGTCATCCACTTGAGAAAAATTTGTTGTTGTCCTAAAAAACTCTGCGCTTGGAGGCCCAACAGAGTCTACAAGGATAAAGTTGTGTAGTAGACATCACCATGCAAGCGTCCGAGAAACCTAACTCACCCAAAAACTCTCTCTCCCTCTCCCTCTCCCGCGCCCTTTCCCGCACGAAGCGGTTAACGCCGCTCCAGAGCACCAGTGCCTCATGCCGCCTTAGAGCGACGCGGCCTCTCACGTCGCTCCGACATTGAAGTGGTGCGCCGGCCGAGAGTGTTGCCCGCGCCGCTCCCTGGTGCATGTGACTTCTCCGCATTCAAACGACAGCCTGTCCGTCCACCTAGCCACAATTAAACATGGGAGGATGCCGAAGAACCCACTTTGGCGCCCCTCGTCCGTCTGTCTGCTTCTCACCATTAACCACCTCGCTGGTTGCCCTGTCAGTCGCCCACTATTTAAACCCCAGGCTCGACCATATCCGCACACAACATCCTCCTCTCTACACCAGCTCACCATGGCCTCCTTGAGCTCCAAAGCCGTCTAGGATAGCCTCTCGCTCGAGCTGAAGCATGAGATCGCCGCCATTGCAGCCGGCTGGCAGGCCGGCAGGCAGACGCATGCCAGTGTTGTGATCGCCCAAATGGAAGAGGAGGTTGACGATGAGCCGACGCCCCTGTCCTCGCCTGCCAATGCCGGCATTGCCATGGGCGAGGCCGTGCTCACTACACCGAGATGGTGTTGGAAGAGCGGCGGGCCTCGTTCCAGCAGGCATAGGCCGACCATGAGTACAATGCCCGCCTCCCTGACAAGCACCGATGCGCGAAGGAGAAACTCCCCGCCGATCCGACCATCGCGTCGGATGTGGACGTGGGCGAGCAGGAGGCGTTGCTCCAATCCTTCCACACCGCCCATGAAAATCCCCCGCGTTAGAAGCCGCCTTCAAGGAGATCGATGAGGCGGCGGATGAAGTCTATGACAAGGATGAGGACGAGGACGACGTCGCCTGCTCCTCGACGCTCGTCGGCATGACAACGATGCCAGCACGTCCACGGACGTCGTTGACAGTGGGGAAGAGTAGATCATGGGAGGTAGCTTGGTGGGCTGATCATCGTCAGCCGATTAGACACGGGCAGACTGTGAAGCCGGTGCTTCATTTTTCGGGGCTCATGGCGTGAATTTAGCTGGAGCGTTGACGGTAATTTTAGTCTAGGTTTAGAGTCACTCTAGTTCAAATATATCAAAAACCATGTGGTTTATGTAAAGTTATCCAAATATGAATGAATATTGTCTAGTTTGTTTAAATACCGCATCAAATTTGTTCAATTTTATTAAATTTCGACCGAATACAAACGGACATATGTGGCTAGCTTTAAAAGGCCAGCTTCCGTATCGTTGTCTGTGGATAGATGCGGTGCCCGGTTTCCGGGTCCACCTTTGAGATGCGAGGATCCGGATCCGTGGCAAAGGGGGACATCGCTCAGCCAATTTCAGATTATCTTTTACCGTGGAGCGAAGAGGGCGTATTATAAAACAGAAAACGTAACAGCACATCGAGGGCGTGGAGAAGCGCGTCTTTCCCCACCCTCCCTAACAAACCTGGAACCGTTCCTGTTTTAAGATCCGATCTCCCCTTGCCCCCTCCCCCTCCCCTCCCCTCCCTTCCTCCTGACCACCCCTCCTCGCGCTCCAGCTAAATCCACGCCACCGATGGCCCGCACGGGCCTCGCGGACGCAACGGCGCCGGAAGCCGACGCAATGCCGGCCGCCAGCAAGGACGCGGCCGACGTCCGCATGATCTCCACCAAGGAGCTGCAGGCGCACGCCGCCGCGGACGACCTCTGGATCTCCATCTCCGGGGACGTCTACGACGTCACGCCCTGGCTGCGCCACCACCCGGGCGGCGAGGTCCCGCTCATCACCCTCGCCGGCCAGGACGCCACCGACGCCTTCATGGCCTACCACCCGCCCTCCGTGCGCCCGCTCCTCCGCCGCTTCTTCGTCGGCCGCCTCTCCGACTACACCGTCCCCCCCGCCTCCGCCGACTTCCGCCGCCTCCTCGCGCAGCTCTCCTCCGCGGGCCTCTTCGAGCGCGTCGGCCACACCCCCAAGTTCCTGCTCGTCGCAATGTCGGTGCTCTTCTGCATCGCCCTCTACTGCGTCCTCGCCTGCTCCAGCACCGGGGCCCACATGTTCGCCGGCGGCCTCATTGGCTTCATCTGGATCCAGTCGGGCTGGATTGGCCATGACTCCGGCCACCACCAGATCACCAAGCACCCTGCGCTCAACCGCCTCCTGCAGGTGGTATCTGGGAACTGCCTCACCGGCCTCGGCATCGCCTGGTGGAAGTTCAACCACAACACACACCACATCTCCTGCAACAGCCTCGACCATGACCCTGACCTCCAGCACTTGCCGCTCTTCGCGGTTTCCACCAAGCTCTTCAACAACCTTTGGTCAGTCTGCTACGAGCGCACCTTGGCGTTTGATGCCATATCCAAGTTCTTCGTCAGCTACCAGCACTGGACATTCTACCCGGTGATGGGATTTGCAAGGATAAATCTTCTAGTGCAGTCAATCGTGTTCCTGATCACGCAAAAGAAGGTGCGGCAGCGTTGGCTGGAGATCGCCGGAGTTGCCGCGTTCTGGGTTTGGTACCCCTTGTTGGTCTCTTGCCTGCCGAATTGGTGGGAGAGGGTTGCTTTTGTGCTTGCAAGCTTTGTGATCACGGGGATTCAGCATGTGCAGTTCTGCCTGAACCACTTCTCATCCGCCGTGTATGTTGGGCCACCAAAGGGGAACGACTGGTTTGAGAGGCAAACCGCGGGCACACTTGATATCAAGTGCTCCCCGTGGATGGATTGGTTCCATGGTGGTCTTCAGTTCCAGGTTGAACACCATTTGTTTCCTCGCCTGCCTCGGTGCCACTACAGGATGGTCGCGCCGATTGTGCGCGACCTTTGCAAGAAGCATGGGCTGTCTTATGGTGCTGCCACATTCTGGGAGGCCAATGTAATGACATGGAAGACGCTAAGGGCTGCAGCATTGCAGGCCAGGGAAGCCACCACTGGAGCTGTTCCGAAGAATCTGGTCTGGGAAGCTTTGAACACTCATGGATGACTGGGATCAGGACTGGAGTATGAGACAATTGTAAGCGTCGAGCCTTGCATGCATGCAATTATCTGATTGCTTCTCGATTGCATAGAGAGATTGATCCTTTTAGCCGTTGGAGTCGTGTTGAATTTTTCGTGTTGCCAAGTGACTATCTTTGCAGTTGAATCGTGGGTTCATGCTTCAGTTGTGTACTTGTACACCATATTTAGATTGTTGGGCTATCCCTATCACGGTAACTATATCAACAGTACTTGATTTATATCATAAATCCGTGGCTTATCTTTACATCCATTTCATTTTGCTTGCAAGTTCATGAAACTGTAAACTCAATTGATGGTTGGTAGCCTGTATATCGTGCTGCTACGGCAGCTTGAACTGCATTTGGGGAACATGACGATTCCAATAATAAACCTTTAGCCATTTTTTTCTACTGCATCTGTATGTCCTCCATGGTTTGATATATATTTTTCATTCACTTAACTGTCAATTTCTTTGTATTTACTTTTAGGGCATACAAACACTATTCTTGATTCTGCTATTTCTGAAGAGTTGTTGAATAGTTCTCGCTAAGATCAAGCTTTCAGATTTATGAGCAGCGTGTTATATGCTGCCTAGAGACTGTCTAGCTGGATTCGCCTAACAATTCAGGAAAAGATACTATCCATTGGTCTTGTGTGTGCATCTGCATATCATAAGTTCACAATCGGTAGCATCATTTGTCTCATGGCAAAAACGGAGGCTACAGTTCCATGCTACTGTTCTTGCATAACTGACTAGGGCTAATTTGCCAAGTCCTAGACAATTCTTGGATGTGATCTACAGATCCACCATGACCAAACAACTGGCATCGTGTTTCCTGGCCACTAATCGTGAGTCCTGATCAGCATGCGTTGCTGTACAAAATACAGCCATTTCTTTGGTGTCTTTGTCCGATTGCTTTAAAGATACTCTTGGACCATTTCGATTCGTCACTGGTGGTTCGTAGTACTAGCGTGCAGCGCATGTGAGATGCCCTCGCGTACCCACGGCACCCCGTCTGTTTGCTTAACAGAAATAGTAGTAGTTGTCTGACATGTACACAGGGGTCCATGCCTGGTTCTGTAGTTGCTTGTCAGAATGCATAGCCCTCCTTGATCTCTCTAGAATATTCGCTTGAACTTGGCATAGAGCACGCAACATGCTTCCCGGTAACATGTGATGTATGTACATCATGCTGTACTATGCTCATGCCATACTCTTTTGGGGCATTTCCAAAGGCCACCGGCATCCATCCGCGGACAAAGGAGTCCACTCCGTGAACACGGATGTGGGAGGTAGCCATCCAACGCTAGCTATATACATTTTCACAACAACTCAAACCAACAGAATGAAATTCGTTCAAACAATATCAAAATTCATATAAACATGATCGTTTTTCTTATAAACATACCGGATTTCATATAAACATGCCGGATTTCATTACAAATACATCAAAGCGGTATATGGGGTCCTAGGCGGGCTCTAGAGTATAATTAATACCTAATTTAAATGATTACTGGTGCCCAGTCCCTGTCATCGGCGCTTTCCAGCTTTGCCTTTGGAGCCCCGGGAACTGAAGTTGTCCGCCTCGACGTCGCCAAGCGACTAATTGACCGAAGATGCCGAGCCCACCAAGCTTGGCGTCGACGGGAGGGGAGGAGCGGCGCCCGCGAACGTGCCGGCTTCTTTGTGGTCGTGGTGCCGGGGCACGGCCTCCTCATCGTCGGTGTCGCCGAACAATGCCTCGCCCGCGTCGTCGTCGCGCTCCTTGCCGACGGCCGCTACCTCCGCCACCCGCTGTCGGTATCGCCAGCAGGCGAGGCAGATCTCGCGGGCGGAGCGGTAGGACTCGAGCAGCGCCTCCTGCTTCGCCATGCCCGCGTCCGGCGCGACCGCCATGCCCGCGTCCGGCGCGACCGCCCTGCCGGCGGCGACCTGCTCCTCCGCCTGCAGATGCTCCTAGAGGAGGTTGCGGTTATAGTTGGTGTCGACCTACGCTTCCAGGAACTGCTCCTCCCGCACCATATCCATATAATGGGCACGAGCCTCGCCGATGGTCAGGGTGCAATGGACCGACGAGGGTGGAGCAAAAGCGGAAGGTGTCGTGGAGGAAGAGGAGGGTGGCGCTGGCTCGTCATCGAAGGTATGCTCCATTTTGCACGTCCTCTGGCTGCGTACCGGCCTGCCAGTCGGTAGCTGTGGCAGTCATGGCCTTCTTCTGCTCCGACGTAAGCCTGTCCCAAAGAGCTTTGGCCTCCATGGCGGGGAGCGGTGGTGGAGAGGGATGACTGTGGCTATGGCCGGGGCACCGGGGCAAGCGGTTTATATAACACGGTGGGTGTCAGATGGGCGGGACAAGTGGCGCCGATGGTGATGCCTCGGCAACCGCATGCCATCAATGCAGGCGGCAGACAGACGGACGGGCGGTCGTCGTGTCGTTTGAACGTGCGGCAGTTGCCTGCACCAGGAAGCGGCGCAACCGGCGCTCTCTCGACCGGCGCGCCGCTTCAATGCCGGCGCCAGTGAGCGGTTGCATCCGTTATGGGCGGGCATAAATGCGGGCGGTGACGCTCTCGAGCGGCGCTGACTGAAAACGCTCGGGAGAAATGAGGGGTTATTGGTGGAACAGGACGATCAGAAACGGGCTTGAAAATCGGTTCAGACTCCCGCAAACTTTCTTCACTTTTGTCTCCCGTATGCAGGAGAAATCACGTCTGTACCACCCACGCGGACTGATATAGACCCGCATTGGATAGTTTTCACGGTTCGGACAGCGTGGACGGGACCGTTGCGAGAGGTTTGTAGTTCGGCACTGGAGATGTCCTTACCATGGCTGTGCCATTTTGCTGACTGTCATGAACAATCTCATTGGCTAACAGTTCTTGCGATTTGCCACAGTTTAGCAGAAAGTTGTGGTGTTCGGCAGCAGCCAGTCCCCTGTGCTGTTGCGATTTTCATAGTTTTCTTTTTTAGCTTAGAGCGATTTCCATAGTTAATCCGCCCTTATAGCCAAAGTGGATGCTAAGTTGCTAACCATGTTTGAAAGAGTAAAGTGCATTCTAGGTTCTCAAACTATTTCGAAGGTGTCATGTAGGTCCTCAAACTATGAAAAGTGTCATCTAGGTCCTCAAAAATCCTTGAACTGTAATAAGTGTGTATATATGTGACACCTTCGAAATAGTTCAAGGACCTATATGACACCTTTAAAATAGTTCGAGGACCAGGATAACACACATATTGCACTTTGAGGACATGGATGACGATTTTCATAGTTCGAGGACCTACGTGACACCTCTAAAATAGTTCGAGGACCTATGATGCACTTCACTCTGTTTGAAATCATCCTCCTCCCTCCATGTACGACATCAAGAAATACAAGTTTTCTGACATGCGGAGTATTTTACAAATCGAAATTACAGTACCAATGACAACATGTGCAGACACAAGCTTTGCACGTCTGCTGTACGTGACCCCACGGCTCTACTTAACTTTCTTTTCTTTTTCTTTTTCTTTTTGAGAAGCGGCTCTATTTAACCTGAAAGCAAGCAAGTTGTACAGCTACTAGTACGTACTACTTGGAAGTTGGAACGTACGCATCTAGATCTAGGGTGCAGCTTTCCGGCCACCCTCCTCATCCACTCCTAAAACAAGACAGCTGCAACGGTGACAGAAGATAGATCAAATGATCGTTTCAAAATTCAAATGTTAAAGAAAACTACTACTATTTGTGCCCCAAAAAAGATCTGGTTTAACACGAATCCGGAGGAGTCGTTGCCTCTTGGGCAAGGGCCAAGGAATATCTCGATGCCCGGAACGTGCCCGCAAGTCCCAAGTCGTCGTCGTCCATTTGATAACGTGCTCTGCGGAGCATCCCTCGGCCTTATATTCCTTCGTGCCGCGTTAAGTTATGTTTATTTGCGGCCGGTCGGCAAAAATATCTCCGGGCAAGAGGTCTCGAGCTTCGACGTCAATCTCTGGGAGTAATGATCGCGGCCCACTTGTGCGGCAGTGCTGGAGTAGAGTATTTGTTTACGTGTACTTGGGGGCAGAGGCACGCCCAATGGGAGGGAGGCAACGACTGGGCAGGATCGCGTGCTCCGAGGTGACTCGGCCCGTGACGATGTACTTGCCTGTTTTGCTTTACAGTCGTGTGATCTGAGCCACTTTATGTGCTACTACTGTCATGGTGCCTCTTTTTTCTCCCAAGCACCGTCCTGGTGTCGTTTTCCGTACGAAACCGTCTTTTCTATTTTTTGTGTGGTCGGCACGATCTTTATATTTTAGCTAAACAAATAGCTGGGTTTTTGCCTTAATTGGGTGTTTCTATGTTAACCACAATTGCTTGCCCTGCCTTCTCCTCTCTGCTGCCTCCCCGGCATTTGTACCATTGTACTGGGTGTTTGGGTTCGAGAAATATATTCAGGTGGGGGAGTTCTCTCCCCCCGGTGAAAATTCAAAAAAAAAACCACAATTGCCTGTTTAGTGTTGTCTTAAGATTACTACTCCATCCGTTCGAAAATACTTGTCGAAAAACTTGTCGAAGAAATGGATGTATCTTGACGTATTTTTGAACGGAGGGAGTATTTTATTCGCGAAAACAAACAGATGCTACTATTTTTTTTATCTTTTTGGATTGACAACTCTTTCTTTTCCCTGTCGCAAGGTAACTAGGGAAAGCCTCCTCCCTCGATCTCTGTGGGCGAGCCCGTTTTTTCTTAAATACTCACGAGTGTGCGTATCATTCATTAAAGAAGGAGAGGAGATACTCCCAAAGTTTTATAGACATATTTACATGCCGGCCGAAGCCGGCACCACCATTGTATCCGCTAGCCTACTACGTTACCCCATCCCGCCTTTCTACCTCTACCCCAAAGCCTCTAGTGTTTCCTTTCAAATGTCCAGCCTTGGCCCAAAACCTACCTTCATCCGCAGTCCGTAGCATCGTCCGGGACAGCGAGGGGGATGCGCTGTTGAAAACAATGTCGTTC